TCTTTTTTTTGCTATTTTAATAAATAGATTTTCTATTATCTTTTTTTTGGTCTTTTATATATTTTTTACATCATACTTTATTTGTAAGATTTTTATATATTGATATTTTTTTTATTAATCTAAAATATATGATTTATTGCTTTATCTTTATCCGTCTTCTATTTAAGCATTGTCTTTATCCTTTAAATTATTTGCCTTTAATTATCTTATTTTATGAAAATTTCTTACAATATATTTTTTAAATAATTTAGAACTTAATGTAATCTTCTTAAACTTCTTTATTCCAACTAATTTTATAAGCAGCAATATTTTTTCTAATATTTATGAATTATTTGATCTTTATAACAATTTTTTAGATATTTAATAAAATTCTTAAGTTTGAATAAAAAATTAACTTTCCTACTTTTATTTGTCTATTTTTTACTTTATGTTTTCTAATAAGTTTCAATTTTAGACAAAAGAAAGATTTATTATGTATTATTGAAGCAAATTTTAATAAATATTATAATCCAATTAAAAGATATTGAATAAATAAATAATATATTTATATTTATTTATTTTAAATACTCGAATTTCGATATATAATCTATCTTATCTATCCTACACATTTACTTCTTTATGCATGTTGTTTTTAAAAACTTCAAAATGTTGTTTTCAGAAAAATAGTCTTCTAGTTAAAATCTAGATTCAAATAAATTTTTATATCTTCTTTATTTCTTGTAAGAATTATTATACAAAATGATCATTCTTCTTATTTTTGTCTTTGACATGTTTTAATATCCACCAAAAATCTATAGAGTCCTATTTAGAAGTTAATCCATCAAGATTTCTAAAATTCAATTTTTTAATGATAATTATTTTAATACATGATTCTTGTTAATCTAACCTATTTTTCAAAATATATTTTGAATGATTTATAATTTTTAATGGTTATTTAAAAAAATTATGATTATTTATCTAATTTTAATATAGGCAACAATTATTAAATATCCTACATATTTCTTCAATTTTATTAGAATTATTAATGTATCTTGGATCAACTCCTACTATGTTAAACTCTACATCATGTCATATGATTCTATTCAATTCTTAGGATATTGTTAATAGTTTATACATACTTATATTATTATATTATTAAAATATCACATCTAGATTGTATATTATTTAACAAACTACATAATTTAGAAATATTTTTAAAATAGTATTTCTAGTAATATATAATATTTTTTTAATTTTATTTGAATTTGATTAGAATTATAAAATATGAGTAATAAATTTAGATATTATATTGTAGATAATAGGTTCTTCTATTTTTTGTACAAAATATTAGATATTTTATTCTTTAAAATGATAGAATACTTAGTTGAATGCAATTTGTTTTTAGACACTTTATGGTTTTGACTTAAGTTTTTTATGACTTTTTGTGAATTTATGTCTAAAGATACACAATGTTATAATTTCAAAGTCTAAAAAAATATAAGAGTGGCATTTACAAAGTCATATATATTTTTTTGCTTTTTTATTCAAAGGTAGAATTTCTTTTATTGTATTAATTATTAGTCTCTTGATAAACCAAATCATTAGGCTAAAACATCCTCAAAGAAGCAATTTCAATCCATGATTGAGTTTCTAATTTTGTTTAATTATAATTATATGTTTAGATTTTTTAATAGATATTATTTCTATAATTATTTTAAAAATTAAATTAAAATCCTTCTCAATTGATATTTCTTTGATTCTACATCTATTAGCATCTTTTATTGCATTCTACATTGTTTCTTGCTTTCATTTAAGTTATTATAGATTTAAGAAATAATTTGGTATAGTTTCTTTAGTAATTTACAAATGAATATTGATATAGAAATAATCTCTATCTTGTACAAATTATTAGAAATTTATTTGTTTAAATTATGTCAAATTCACAAAGTCCTTATTTTTAAATGGTTATATACTAAAATTCTTTAGTAGATTCTATAGTTCTACTTTTTTGTTATTTTTATTTCTTTATAATAACTCATGCTTGAAATATGCTTTAACTTCTTCCTAACCTATGATTAAGTATTTAAAACTTATTAATATTCTTTTCATTCTAGGTTCTTATTTTGTAATCATATATCTAATTTTTTAATTATTTTAGCAATTAAGAATATTACTACGTTGCCATAGGTATACTTACTTTGCACTCTTACTAACTATGTGTTGTCCTATCAACAACTTTATTAACGTCCAATCATAAGGAACATTTTATAATTTAGAGACAATGTTGTAGTTTAAACATAGTTCACAATGCATAGTTTTCAGAATAAATTGGATTATACATCACTGAAAGGAGGCAATAGTTTATCCATCTTAAATTGCAATATTTAGTGGACTTTAATGGGGATATGATGCAAATATGTAATGTATGAAATGTAGTAATTATGTTGCATGTTGCACATCAATCTTAACCTGAACTTTACATAGAAATATTTCTATCACCTTAAGTTTTTTTGTTGAAAAAAAAATTGTATGTGAAGTTATTTTTAGAATGTTTAATTTTAGAATGTTTAATTTTATAAATTTTAATTTCTCAATAATTCTTATTATTTTTAATTTAACATATTGAATTGCACAAGTTGGAAAGTCAAGTATCATAAATGATACTTTATATGCATCATATGTAGTTAAAATTGTAACTTTTTAATATTATTGACATTCATATGATAGAACAAGTTTTCATATTTTTATTTTAAGAACAGTTAAAATTAAATACATGTCATTTCTATATGTGTGCTTCCATAAAAACTCAAAAAAAAAAAAAGGTTTTTTCATAATGAAATATTTGATATATTTCCAATGATGAAATTTCTGGAAAAACACAAGCTCTGGAAAGGGTTTAAATTTTTTTCTTTGACATCTATTAAAAACTAAGAAATTGTGTAGACTTTCTTTTTCAAAAATAAAATTACTCGGAGTTGAATAATTTTACTTTTCAAATACACTTTCTACATATCATCTATAAAAAATAATAGTTTGAAAACATGTTATACTCACTGTGTAATAATCCCATCCATTAAAAATGAAGAAAATTTATAATATACTGTAGTACACAAAGAGGCATATAATTTAGTTTTTTTTCTCTTTTTTATTTTCTTCTTCAATAAAACCTTTTTATATTACCATCGTGAATTTCCCTTGTTATATTTTTCAAGAAATATCAATTATAATATGCATATCTAACTTGTTTATGTAAATATGCTTGAATTATTCTTTTCTAAAATAATTCAATAAATTTGAACTAGGGAGGAAATTTTCCTGTGTAAAATTCTTAAACAAGGAGATTACATATAGATTTAAATTAATGTTTCCAGAAATTAAAATTTTCAACAGTCACATTATTTAATAAAAATATTTAAATTGCCTCTAATGAATGCAAATGAATGCAATTTTTTTCATGCTTACGAGCTCACACTTAAAGCTATATGAACAGTTTAATTGCAACTATTGTTTGGGTTTTAAACAGAATTTACTGTATATATATATATTTATATATCATTATATGATTTTGAATGTATGCATTACAGGAATATATATATATATATATATATATACACACACATAGAGACATACATACACATACAAACCCTAAGAGAGTTTAGGGTTTTATAATAAAATCCAGTTACAAATGCTTTGCCCAAAGATGTTTGAATGTGAATATTTGGAGTGCAGGAGACTCAGAATTATTTCTACACCTGCTCAAAATTTCAGAAAATTAGTTTTTTGGGAGTTAAAAAGATATCATTTTCTAGTCTCCACTTCACTCACTTGTGTAAGAATCAAATAAAATGAGAAATAAAATATTTTTTTAAGAAAAGGTAAACACTTAATTTGCTAAGAAAAAATTAAAGTAACTGTATATACATGTATATAAATACAGAGGAAGAAATTGTATGATCTCTAGAATTTGAACTGAATGCTTAAAAAATAAATAAATAAATAAATAAATCTTTGAAATGTTTAGACATTGCGTAAGACTATGAGCATGAAATGCACTAAAATTGTAGTTGATTTATAATCTATGTTATCTTTATGCTAATCCTAAAATGAGGCTCATTTTGAAGTAGCTTTGTGATGTTGCTTGATTTTGGACACATTTTTTGATGTATACTATGTTTTATACTTATCACATACCAAAAGATTGGACAACATTTCAAATTACAAATTTGGTATAAAAGAATTTATATAATTCTATTAATAAATGCATGAAAATGAAAATTTCAGTAAAAGGATGTTTTAGAATAGAATAGAATAGAATGATTTTTATTTGATCGTTTTAATATGATCGAAATTATTTCCAGCTTCCAAATTAGGATTATGTTTAATTTAATCAAAATTCAATGTAATAAAAAAAATATGTAATGGAAAAACATGAGGAAAATAAATAGTAGTTATTAAATCCACATACACTACTTTCAAATACACTATTTTATCATTAATTTGTAGTTAAAGCTCATAAAAAATAATCGTAATAATAATTTCATTTAGCTTTTAATTTATATTATTAAATAATTTAAAACATGATTTTCAATTTATTAATTTAAATAAATAATTATTTAAAATAATTTTTTTTTTTAGATAATAAGTAAATATTTCTTTTTGTATGTTGTAAAAAATGAACCGGGGAAGAATGTTTTATTTGATTTGATTTAGAAAGATTGAGGTCTTACTTTCTCTCAATCTTAAAAAAACCATTGAAATAGCAACTATTTTTCTCAACATGCATGTATTGAACTTTTATCAACAACATTATAAATTAAACCTCTAACATTGTAATATATATATGTATATTACAGAGGAGGACAATTCCGCCAAGGAATCTACGACCTGCCACTCGCAGAGCATTACGCTCCCATAATGACTAGACAACCGGGAAAGTGCCGCGGAAACCGGCTACGTGCCGGTTTCGCCGGTGGCTCCTCCCCAACGTTGTTGCCGAAGCCACAAAGGGGCAAGGGCGGCGATGGCTCCGGCAGGGCATTGTGTGTGTGTGTGTGTGTTGCGCCGCCCTCACCTGGCGAGAGGACGACAAATCCTTTGTCTCCTAATTTGCGAGGTTGTTCTCTCATTCCCTCCTTCACGCCACTTCCCCCTCACGCCCAAGCCACAAACCTCGTGGCGGTGTTTTGAAAGTCTTTCACCATGGTAAGCTCTCTCCATTGTTTGCTTCATCACATTCATTGCGGCCTCTCTTCTCCGTTAGGGTATTTGTTGGAGATGCTTCTCCTGTTAAATTTTTGGTTGAGTTGTGGGAGGATTGTGAACTGTGTTTCGTTAACAGTCAGGTTCTCTGCCAGAGTTGGGTTAATTTAGCTCGGAGTGGCTACTGCCGTATGTTTAGGTTTGCGTTTGGGAGTTTTAAGGTTTTGGTGGTTGTGGAGGCATTGGGTTTGGGTTTTGAAGGTGTAGAGTTTGTTTGGTTAGTTTTGAATGGTGAGTTTGTAAACTTACTTTTGGTATTCTGTGTTATTTGTTTTTGTTTCCACTGGGTAACAGCCGCAGGGAGATCATATTGACTTGCATCGCAAGCGTCATGGGTACCGACCGGATTACTTCGAAAGGAAGCGCAAGAAAGATGCGCGTGAAGTTCATAAACGGGCGGCCTTCGCCCAGAAGGTATGACGTCAACTTTCTCCCAAATTTTACAGTCTTTGGGGTTTAGGGTTTTGTTAGAATTGGTTAGACTTGTGTCTGTTAACTCACAGTGTTCTGGTGTGGGTTACAGGCTCTGGGTATCAAGGGTAAGATGTACGCGAAGAAGCGGTACTCAGAGAAGGCTACCATGAAGAAAACGTAAGGAGTCATTCGACACCGTTACATTCCTGCCGAATTTCTTTAAGTATTGGGTTTTCTTTTTGGGTATGTAGTTATTATTTGTATTAACTGTTTTAATTTTTCTGTCTTCTTCTACAGATTGGCTATGCATTCTGAACGAACCAATCGCCACAAAGCTGATGACCAAGTACAAGATGGAGCTGTACCTGCTTACCTATTGGATCGTGAACAAACTGCCCGTGCTAAGGTATTGATTTTTAAGTATATTTCTCTTTTTTCGCTGATCCTTTGATAATGGACTTAAAACTTTTCGCTTCTGACTTGAAAAGTGCTGGTTATTGTGTGCGCGTTCATTCTTTTGAATCAGTTTCTGTACTCCTGAAAGTTTTTCATTTTGCGGTGAAAAACATTTGCCGTCAAAGTCACTTCATTTCGTATTTTCCGCCTATAATACTTTCATGCGAATTTTCAGGTTCTCAGCAACACCATCAAGCAGAAACGTAAGGAGAAGGCTGGTAAATGGGAGGTGCCTCTTCCTAAGGTGAGCCGATATCGTACGAATGCTGTAGCTTGTGAAACTCTTGAATAATCCACCACATCACTTAAATTGTGAAGTACGTGAACGGAGGCGATGTGGTTTCAAAATAGAGTGTTCGAGGTCGGCTGTGACGTAGCGGATCTGCGAAGGGATTTGAGGTTGAACAAGGATACGATGAAGTTTTGTGGATGTTTTCGTAAATCTTGCTTTACAAGCTATGTTTTGTGTGGTGTAGGTGCGGCCTATTGCTGAAGATGAAATGTTCCGTGTGTTGAGGACGGGAAAAAGAAAGTGTGAGTTATCGTGATTACGACCTCACTTCTTTATATTTTATTTTCTCCTTTATAAGTGAATGATTTCTTGTCTACAGTAGCTACATTAAGGCCGTTTTAACTACTTTTTGGGTTGTCTGACTGCTAAATTTTTCAATGCTGTTGGGTATTCATCATGCTAACGTATATGTCGTGGTTCCTTCGTGTTTCAGCTAAGCAATGGAAACGAATGGTGACGAAGGTCACATTTGTTGGACCAGGCTTCACTCGCAAGCCTCCTAAGTACGAGCGGTTTATCAGGCCCATGGGACTTCGTTTTACCAAAGCTCATGTAACGCATCCAGAGCTTAAGTGCACTTTTAATTTAGACATCATTGGAGTTAAGAAGAATCCCAACGGACCTATGTACACGTCGATGGGAGTAATCACGAAGGGTACCATCATCGAGGTATGTTCGTTTCTAAGCTTATCCTTTGTATCTTTGTCTACTCCTTCCAGCACTGCAGCTCCAATTGCCTCTGTTTAGTCTTACCTTTCAGAGCAGCCGGCCAAGGACTGTACCTGCTTCGCACCTGATATACTCACGTTGTTATTGTGAACCTTTGTAGCCTAATGAGTACGCCCCTTATCAAACGCGTCTTAGGGTACAGTGTAACAATATGTGAATTTTTATGCATGCAGGTGAATGTCAGTGAGTTGGGACTCGTGACACCAGCTGGAAAAGTTGTATGGGGTAAATATGCCCAAGTTACAAATAACCCTGAAAATGATGGTTGCATCAATGGAGTGCTACTTGTGTAACGCGGACAAATGTCATCGGGATCTGCAGTTAGAAAGCCTGCGTTTTTTTGGGCCCCAGCAGCCAGTTCGAAGAAATCTGGATGCTTTGGCGTCGTTGCTACTGCGTGAGAAGATGCAATTCGTGTGCGACATTCAGCTCTCGTAGAGTTCGATCGCTGAAGTAGAGACTCGTACTCGTTGCTGCAAGTGGGCAACGTGAATGTGCGAGGTTTATCGTTAGAAGGGTTAGTAACCCGATATAATTCCAGTAGGCTTTGATGACATTTTTCCATGTCGTTCACAATAGGATGATATTTCTTGGCTTTATATTGGAATATTCCTACTTCAACTGTAACATGCTTCATAATTGGCACGGCGATGTCACTACGATATCAATTTGTATTTCCTTTTTCAATGATTTTTATTTTCTCACAGTTAAATGTACAATGTTTGAGAGTCATTTATGCATGTTTTTATTATAAATGTAAAACAAACTGAGAAGGAAGAACTAGAAATTGACAGGTATTAATATTATTCAAAGCGAATATTATGAATCCGTCAAGGTAACTCTGATGAGTGACAATCTCCTTACTTGAAAGTAGTGTTGGCGAGTTTAGAGATAGACCTAGTCTCCCTGTTTGTATACTACCTGAGAGATTCACAATGTAGTCAGGCTGTTCGACTAGAAGTAATTATCTTTAGAAGTCCCGATCTTTGTGTAATTCTAAATTCCAATAAAGTTAACAGGTAAAGTCATTGCAATTTTCTATCTTCATGGTGGTTTTTATTGCACCACCTCCACTCCTCAGTGAAATTTTAACTTAAAATATGCCCCTTTTTTTTTTCTTACTTTTCCGTTTTTACGATGTACGAAATAAAAGTACGTCATATAAGATGATTTCTTTTTGAAAGATTCTCTACTTTATTATGATTTTGTTTGCCCTCTAAAACCGCTATGATTTTCTATAAGTCTTCTGCATTCATTAGAACTTTTAGAACCTGTTTTGGAATCAATCTTAAATTGGAGCGTTAGGCTCCACCATGTCTGCTCATATGTTTATTTAATTTTAAAATGGGTCTAGCAACACTTGTTGGGACGAAATTGTTCACCTATAGAAAACAATTTCAAAACAACAAATAAAATCCATCATTTAATCTAAAAGTAAAACATGTTTGAAAACATGGTTTTAAGTTGCATGTTTATTTTTTGATGGTTTTAATTGAATGGAGTTCTATATTTAAGCATTCCTATCAAATCACATTGAAAATACTTGCAAAAGAATTGGCACAAATAACACATCAAAGGTGAAAAAAACTTGTGCAAAATTCGAACAGTAATTGTTGAACTTCACAATAAGAATCCGAGCCTCAAACTTGCTAATTTGCACTCTTACTAGACGGGAAAATTACCCACCCAATATCACAATGTGAGAAAATAAGCCCCCAACTTTGACTCATTCCTCTCAACTACACAGAATCAGGTGGTGATAGAGTTCCAAGGCAGACACACACACGCCCTCACCCTGCCCCTCCCACCCAGCCCATGATTCGGCATATCCATGTTGCAAATATCATGCAACTAACAGTGTCACCGACGACAACGCTCTTCCCTGATCCAACAGCAAGCGACAGGAACTCTAGATTCCACAAAAACCTCAGGGAGCACAACGACCCTACCATTTGGGGAATACCATCTCACAGTTTTGCAACGTTAAGAACTAGGGCGTTGACTGGGTCCACAGTAAAAATTCTTTCTCGACCAATCGATAAAATTCGCTGCATTGTTGGCAACAGAAAGGTGATGCTACGCGTTACCCACACCGTTGACTGGTGACTTGGCAGGTTGAATAACGGCTACAACGGTGATGGTGGTGGTGGCTGGAGAAGTAAGTGATTATTTTGTGGTGTGCGTCCAGTTTCATGCGAATCTTCGTCATGGCTGTTCTGAATTCCTCATATAAATTCAGTTGGAATTGATGTGGAAGCTGTGTGCCTGCCAAATTCAGTCAAGTGAAACTCATGTTTGACAAATGTGAAGCTGCCGGATTGGATCACATGTGTTTAGGTTGCGGGATTCTCGTGGAATCCGAGAGTTGTGATTGAGCTTTAAGTGTAGAGGAGTTGGATTCTGTAATCAAAAGGAGTAGTGATTGAGCTCTTTTAGTCTGGAGGAGTTGTGTTTCAAGGACACCGGTGAAAGTTCGGAGTTCGACGAGAAGTGACTGATGATGAGCTGGATTTCGAAGTAATATTGATCGAGTGCTGGTTGGCACTGATTTCCTCAGTGTTAGTTCGAAGGGTCGAATCTGGAATCGGTGTGAGTGACAAGCTGGAATTTGCGTGGGTTGTTTCTGTAGGGTGGGTTGCAACTATAATTGCGTACAAGGGGTTTAGGGAGGGGTTTTAGTATTCTGAAGTAGCAAGCCGATTTTACGTGAGAGGGACGTTTTGAAGAGGGGAAAGCTTGCTGGGAAATTTTCTGGTTCAAATCGAAGAAGATAAAAATGTTCAGCTGCTTGGCATCGCGAATTTTTTTTGCAATCGAAACGAAAGTGTGCATCGCTCGACTTTTTTCTTTCAGGCTGGAGCTCAAATACTGGGCTGATTAGAGTGCTGTTGGAGACAAAATCCGGAAACGAGAGCTTGCTTACAATATTCAAATTAAAGATCAATCGCGTGCCTCCACAATTCGGAGAAAGAAGCGGAAAATTTCGAAGCAAGATTTGTATGGCCTTCGCAGGCGCCAATGTCAGACCAGCTTGAAACTAACAAACAACCAGAGATTCAAAGACCCCCTGACTCAAATCCTAACGCATCGAACTCCACCTACCGGGGTATACCCAACCCAGTCACCGAAGTCTCCATGATCATAAACGCGCTGACGAATGCTGCAGGACTGCTTGAACCATTGCAAGTGCCGGAACACGGCTATGGCGCACAATGTGCCAAGACTTTCCGAATGGTGTCAACGACACGAGGCTCACAGTCAGAGCATGTAGACGTCGCTGGCGCATCTGCAACGCCGTGGTTGCCAATCAATGCGGAGTGGAGCGAGCAGACCCCGCAAAGAAGCAGCCCTAGCCACGCCCAGGACAACTCCCCCCAGTCTGCCCAGTTCCGTGAATCAAGTTGGCAGCAACAGCAACAACAGCAGCAACAGCAGCAGCAGCTCCAGCGTCCTCTTGCCCCGTTGCAGCCTCGAGGTAGGTATTGAATGAACTCTTCACTTCTCCTCACAACCGACCATAAGAACTTCTGACAGTGTTGGTCCTCAGGACAGCTTTAGGTCACGATGCCCGGAGTGTAAGTTAAGGCACGAAGGCATTGCTTTCTTTTGGTATAATATTAAAGTATGTGGGGCCATAGTTCCCAGTAAGCGTGTCTAAAACTATTTGGATTCGTACGCAACCTGGGGAAGCTTTGAACTTCAGTCTCTTCCATTTCCTCGTAGCGAACAGCCGCCTCTCCATGAATCATCAACAGTCGATGTCATCGACATTAGAATTTTATGTGCTTGCACTTAGGTGGGGTATTGCAGATATGGGATAGAGTTGATGCTGAGCTTCGTCTTGGGTTTGAATTGTGAATCGCAGAGTCCCAAATGCACAGGACAGGGTTCGATCAGGACTCGAGCGGCCACTTTGCTGGAGCAGAAGCCGAGGCGGTGCACAGCCTGGAGCCAGAGAAGAAGCGCAAGTTCCGCGGCGTGAGACAGCGGCCGTGGGGGAAATGGGCAGCCGAAATCCGTGACCCCAAGAAGGCTGCACGAGTGTGGCTGGGAACATATGACACCGCGGAGGAGGCCGCGCAGGCTTACGATAATGCAGCCAAGGAGTTTCGGGGATTGCGTGCCAAGTTGAATTTTCCCGATGGGGAGCATCTGGGCATCGGAACGTCTTCGAGGATAAGCTCCTCATCGAGAACAGCTCGCGGACCATCCAGCGATTCACCTCGCGCCTCGTCTGATGCAACCTCCGGATCTCTCTTTGCGCCTAACGCAAGGCATCAACTCTCTATTGTCGAATCGTTTCTTTACAGTGATTCTCATTCGGTTCCTGAGAATTCAAGCTGGAATTCTCCGACTCGCACTTCCTCGAGCACAGACCACTCTCCAGCTTACTCTGCGCCCGCGACGTCCTCCGAGACACCTTACTTATCCGGGTACTCTTACTTTCAACCTGATTCTGGGTCGCCGTCTTATTACAATCAATTGGGTCCGTATCAAGAGCGTCGGTCGTGGCAGGAGACGCCTAGCTCCTCCGGTCACCAAACCATCGGCATGCACAACGATTCAGCGGCTGATAACCGGAGCCCTTCGAACATATATCAGCCAACTTATTCAAGCACTCCAGATGAGTACTCCACATCGGGATCGTTCATGGCAACTTCGTCAAGTTACATGAATTTGCATGATCAGGAAGCAATCGACCCCTACAATTGGGCACCTCAATATGCGTCGAATGAATCAGACCGCTATTCCTGTTTCCAGAATCTGCAAAGCTCAAGTGCACCGGAGCTCTCGTACGATCAGATCTTTGAGCAGGACTCGGGTGCTTTGCCTTCTTCGAACACAGGAAATCTATCACCTAGTTATTACTTTCCATTCTATGACAGGCAACAGCAATTTATTTGACCGATAATAGGACAATTAACGGATGATCATCTCCGACGGAAAGTTTTTGATGTGGCGATGATCATTCCATTTATTTGATTTATTGGTGGGCACAGGTTAGAATTTATGGGTCTTTTGTTACACATTCTTTACAGAATAAATGATTAAAGTTGGAGCTTGGACGAGTTCCAGTTGAAAAAAAGTCGAGAATTGGAATAGCCATTGATGGAAGGAATGAATCTCATAACCAAAAAAAACCTCTGACTGTCATCAGTAACGGTCATATGGGTGCCATGTAATATGGATTCAAGTTCAATTTTCAGCCTGTCCGCCCTGGCGGATCGAAATTCGGCGTTCACTCTACTTTTGAACTCTCCCGTGTTTTCATATAATTGTCACAGCTCATGTGAGACTATCCATCCAGGAAATCGTCGATTGTCGGAACCATTTCAGCGTGGTGACTCAGTCTCGTCGGGAAAGTTGCATACTTGGCAACGACAGAACGTTGTTGGGCTTTTCGAACATTCTGAAATGTTCAAAGGTTGGTGAATCCTTCACTGTTGCATGAAGGGGTCCGTAACTGCCCATTATGCGCACACCGTCTGTCAGATCTGTCACTCCCGCGTACCCTGTCGCTGTCCCGCAATTCATACAATCTCACACCTCGGGGGAAGTGCACCAACTCATTGCACACGTTAATATAACAATCCTGCCGCTTATATGTTTTAAACTCAAACAGCTCGGAGACAGCTCACGTTCCTTCCACCTTGGTCCCATCCACTTGCTACTCCACTTGCGATGGAGTGCCAGTCGCTATCTCGTTTCCTTCTCCGACCACAACCTGGCAGAAGCTGACAGAGCGGTTTCTAACGATCTGTCGAGAAAAACCCAGTTTGCGGTGGTTTCCGCGGTTGTGACGTTGCAGAATCATCACGAATTCGACCCAATCCCAAGGGCTCATCCAGAGCAAGAACCGAAACCTGATGCATCTGGTCGTGAAGGTGGGGATTCTACTAGATGTATCCACACGATTCCATGGATGCGATCGACGAGGAAGGCGAGGTTGCAATTAACTACCGTGACCTGTTTACGTAATTTTATGTCTCCGAAGCGCGGCGCTGCATCGATCACGACAACAGGTGTTCGTGGAAGCCACCCAGCCAGATGCGATGAAAACGTCATGCCCGGGGGACCAGCAGTGGAGTGCCTGAGCTCAGAAGATGATGTCATGGGATATCCGAGAGGTGACGGGAAGATGATGCCAATAAATTAATGGTGGAGTTGGAGTAGGAGTTAGTAAGGGACGAGGGGAGGATGAGCGAGAAGGGCACGTGGAACTCGAGGCTGCGTTGATGTGTTCGACATGCTCGACCTTATCTTAAGGGAGCCCCTTGCCATGCCGTGTAGTGCCTGCAAGGTCCTATTGGCTGAGTTTGTGCACTGGCCCCAGCATCGTGGACGCGCTGGTTGTGTGGGTCTCTTGTGCTTCGCCTTCTGTCAGTCAAGATAACAAACCTGCCCATCCACCAGCACAGGGTCTCCATCCGAAACTGCGGTACCTCTTTCCAGCTTGAGGAACACACCTCTATCCACGACTAGGATTAGTACCTCAACCACGAAACCTCGACTTCGGTGACCATAAATTCCATATTAGCACAGTGGCATCTTTTCAAATAAGGTTCTCAAAAGCACAGTTCCATAAGTACACTTTTTGAGAAGGAGATCGGGTTTATCGTTTAAGTGATTCCATCATGATTCGAAAAGTGATTCGGAAAGTGATTCGAAAACCATCTCGTTGCGAACACTTCCCAGCATTGTGACATCTGTTCGTACAAAAATATGCCCTCGCAGTCCTGCCATTTTCTTCACTTCAACTTTGCCATACATGACAAGCAATTACTCATTCGCTCCAACTCTCACTCTAAAAAATCCTCGTTTACCTTATTGAAAACACCAAGATAACAAAAAATTGTGAGTCAACGCAGCCTAAATACGATGAGCAGATGATCGGGGATGGTGTTCCTCTGAACAAATCAAGCAGGGCACTATGGATGGAGGAGGCTGGCTGTGGCTGCAGTGAGGCCAGAAACCAAGAGGCTGGATCCTTTGTAGCACTATCATTTAGATTGCCCGTCATCTCTTTTCTGAAGAATTTCTCGGACGTCTTGAAGGTCAACAGCACTTCTGAGCATTTGCTAAACCGACGAGAATCTACTACGGTCAATATGGCATTGTACATTCGGTGGCAAGAGCAAGAATTCTTTGCCGTGTGGTTGATCACCTAGCGGCAACAAACATTACTAATCAGATTATCATCAAGATTTCAAAACAGGACGTACTACCGAGCATTTTGCCACAACTGATGGATTCTTTTGCAAGCTCACGTTATCTCTAGGAAAAGCTTGTTGACGAGGACGTCACAAATCATTCGAAGTCTTACTCTCATAGCATTTACAACAGATTCTTTGCCCAAGTATTCACCAATATCGATTACCTGTGCAACCAAAATGCCCTCGTATGCATCCGACCGATTCCGCGGAAAGTTCCACGTTACGTGAAGGAATTAACATTAGACCCCTTCTTAACGTACCCAGACTCCAGAAATACCGCACAAGCTTCTGCAAAGAGACGAAACACTACAAGAGTCTTATCTTTGTACACTCCCTTGACACGCTTCTAAGCTTGACGAGCAGTAACCCAACTTGGTTCAGCACACAAAAACCACAACTTGAACAACTTGAGTCTCATGAAGCCCTCCGTTAACCGGGGTTTGTTCAATTGGCTGGATATGACATGTTGCGGTGTAGTAAGGTATTCTTTTTTCCCCTTTCCTTCGTGCATGGTTTGACTCTGGACGCTATGGGGACTCTATGGAGATTGACAACTGGAGTGTTGCCAAATTTCCTCAAGAAGTTATTTTACCAAATCCAGAATGTTTTGAGATCTTCTTTGTGGTCCAAGAGGTAGTGTGATCTTGGCTTCTCATGGGTTCTGATACTAAGTGACGATTTTCTGTGGTTTTTCAGTGTTTGCCTTTTGATTAGCATTTGCCAGTATCATGAATATTTTTACTCAGGACAACTATATGCTCTAGTCACAACACGGAAATTTCAGCAACATAAATTTCGTTTTTGGTTTTTATAATCCTAGGTCGTTTCGGTGAGTTAGTGATCTCCACGCTCTCGCTGCTGCGTTCACCTAATTATTGTTACCTCGAGATCATTGATCAATGTGCAGCATGAATCTTTTGTTCTGAGACATTTCTATGTTTTTGTGCAGCAATTGGTGTCAGCATGGCAAAAGTAAATGAAGAGGGAGCTCCCACAAACACTCTTCGAGCAATCCATTTCTGGGACACCATCCTTCAGAACCACCATCTCAGTAGCCGCTCAATATGGTTTCTATCAAGAATTTTTGCAATCAAACCAAGTGGGTTAGACAATGTCTCTTGCCAAGAACTTTGGCCAATCAAACCAAGTGGGTTAGACAATGTCTCTTGCCAAGAACTTTGGCCTAATGGATAGAGAGTGTTGTAACTTGTTCTAGAATTGTCACTTAAAATTCCTACATCTAAATTTTCTGTTAGTATAATTTAGAACATACATCTTAATATATAATATATAGATAGGAATAAGACTAAGAGACTTCTTAGGAGTTGATTACAATAACCATGTAAATAAGATCTTGCTCCTTGGATTCATATAAGTTTACAATGATAAATTAGAGGGTATAAGATTCCCCAAGTTTGACTTTGTTTAAGTAATAGGAATTACTTTGTAATACATTTTGTGAGTTGATTATATATATATATATATATATTCATTTATTTATTTATGGTATGAGAACAAATCATAAGAGAGAACGAGGTAAATCTCAGCTATCTTTTGTTATAGAAGATGAAGAACATGGCAATGAGTGCAATTGCATGGTCTATAAGTGACTACTTGATTGATATTATAATAGAATATGAAGATTCAATCAATGCGTAGAAAGTACTAGAATATAATTTTTAGTCTAGAAATCTAGCTTGAATACTAATGTTAACAAGTCAACTTCACATACTTTGTATGCATGAAGGAGATTTAATAAAAGATTATATAAAAAAGTATAAAAATAAAGAATAAATTAGAAGCAATAGAAAAAAGAATACCTGATAAGAATCTCATACATGTAGTATGAAATAGCATGCCTTTTTTGTACAAAGGAGTTTTGTAAGATATGACTTCTACAGAAATATTACTTACATTTGAACATGTAGTAGCAAAACTTATTAAAAAGGGATATCAATAAGACTTTAGAAGCAAGAAACTTAGCAACAAATAAATTGTATTAATTGCAGAATAGAAGAGAACATCAATGCAAGGTGAACACAAAGCTTTTGTAAAAGGTAGATATGGTAATTTAAGATGGAAAATACAACAAAAAATTATCAATCAATAAAGAAGATTCAAATGTTTTGCATGTAGAGAAGAAGGTCACATTGCAAGAAAATGCCAATAACAATAATCTACAATATGTTCCTATACCAACAATAGAAATATGTTAAACCATGTAAAGTATTATGAAAATCACAAACATGCTACTAACAATTTTGATGCAACCATAATGGATATTATTGACAATTTGAAATAAAAATGATATATGAATAGTGACATTTTGAGTCATGTCACACAAAACAGAAATTTATTAAAAATAATACATAGAGATAAGAAAGGACTTACTACTACAATATGGAAGGGAACCTCATTAGATTAAAGGCAATTATATCTATTGGATCAAATGGAATAAAACTTGACAATGTGTTCTATGTGCCATCTCTATATAATAGCCTCATATCAATAGGAAGTCTAACAAATGCAAAATATATAGTAATATTTACAAAATATTATTACTGAATATTAGAAAATATTAAAAATAGAAAATCCTATCAACTAGACACGTAAATTCAATAACTAATTTATATAAGTTTAATCATCTAATATCAGCTTTTAATTTTGCTACTTATACAAAGGAACCGCCTTCATACTTTGTAGTAATGTTGTGGCACTCAAAAAATACAATAACAAAAGTAAACAACTTGACAAGAAAAAATAATCCACAACTTTGGCATCACAAGCTAGAATATCTAAACTACTATAGACTTGGTCACTTATCAAAAATTAACAAAGTCATTAGGTTGTATAGAATTGATGACATAAAAATCATATGTGAAGGATGTCAAGTGGAGTAGGAACATAGAGAGCATGCTCATTGAAAATCTAATGCAAGGATAACTAGCATATTGGAGTTAATACATATAGATATAGTAGATCTATGTCTCATCAAACATTGGAAGGAGCATAATACTTCTTAGTCTTTATAAG